ATTTGTACAGAGGCCAAGGTGGGATGTGGGGTATCCCGAGGCAGTCTTAGCACTGTGAATTGACCTTCGATGTTAACAGGGTTTATGATCTTGTTGAGAGCGGAAAGAACCACAAGATTTTTTTTTTCGCCCATCAATTCTCTTCCATCTTTATGTCTACTATATTCCACTGATCTGTTCCACTATGGTGTTTGGAACAGTGCAAGGCCTACTCCGAGCCAATGTTGTTTTCCATTCTTCCAATTATACTTGTCCTGCCGTCTGATTCTTTGTGTTCTGCTTCTCCACAGAAAAGAACAATCTTTCATTCATTGAGACGTCAGCGCTGGACTCAACAAATGTAGAAACAGCTTTCCAGAATATCCTCACAGGTAAGTGCGTCTGCCATGTTTTCTACTGTTTTTTTTCTTAATTTTCTTAATTTAGTAATCTTGCTTTCTAAGAACAATTAATCAGTGAATGTAGATCACAGAATCAGAATGACGTTTTCAAGTTGATCTGCACTGCGAAATTGCATTGCATTGCATTGCATCCCATCCAGAGTTTTATTTTAGTGCATGGGTTTTCTATTCTTACTAATCTTCGCCTTACATACATGGGTAAATAATCTCCTCCAGTTTTGATTTCTTGCTGTTAATCCTAGCTATGAATGCTTGATATAAATGAAAGGGTTGTAATGAAGTGTTAACAGCCAACTAAACTGCTTGAATTTCTCCTCGGTCAAGTTTTCATCAGCTGATTGCTAAAAGGGGGGTCTCTGAATTTGGTTCTCATAAACAGCTCTCGATGAACTTGGACACAAAAGAGTCAGGTTTTGTCTTGCAAACGGTGTTCCAGTCTCTTCCATCATCCCCCACTTTGTTACCATGGTTACAAAGATCAGTGGAACAGGAAGTGTAATGATGGAAGTGAATATAACACCATTTGACGGACAAATACAAGTCCTATGGCTCTCTCGCGTTCAATGAGATCTGAGTGGTTGTTTGTTTCTAAGGTCTGTCGATGGACGTAGAGAAATTTGTCAGAAATTTATGTTAGGGGTAATACTCTCGTTTGGATAAGTTGAATTGTAGTCGTATACTTGTCCACTAGTATTATGCTGACTAATCCTGCACATGTACTATTTCTGGGATAACTAACGGTTGGTTAAATAATGTTTTTGCTTTGCTACCTCTTTTCCTTGTATATATTAAAATATTAAATTTCAAAGCCCAAGCCCTTTAAAAAGGACCATGCTACAATTGTTCAAACAGCTTTTTAAAGATGCAGTCAAACCAACTGTAAAACACATTGACAGCCATAGTACCAACAATTTTTTTTTTTCCCCCTGAAATTTCGATCAAGGCTCAGTCACGAAAAGAGGTGCTAAATTATTTGCGAAAGTATGAGTAGCAGTTTCACTTGTGTAAATGAGTTGTCTAAGATCAAAATAGGTCCTTTTTGAATTTTTTTTGGATTTATGGGTCATGCACACTTCTATTAGAGCAAATACAATATTGAGAAAATACAGTGTAGAAGGCTAATTAATTACCTTTTAAGGAATCCTTCAAGAAACATTGGATTTGGTTCTGTGGCTGTTTTTTGGATTTGAAAAATTAGAATCTTTCCCAATCCAGTTTTATGCAAGGACTAATCCCGGCTTTCCAAAAAAAGTGATTCAAATCAATTCAAATGTAGCATTGAATTTTAAATGGATCCTTTTTAAAGTGCTCCTGTTCTTGTAAGTTGTCAAATTGGAACGTCTGGAAACACTTCCATTTCCATTCCCTCATCCTGCATTTGTGTGTCTGCGTCTGCTAGCATATTTCATTTTTGTTATCTGCTCATATTTTCATAATTATTTATTTTTGTCCATATGCATGTTTTTTTCTTTTCTTTTTTTGCAGAAATTTATCGCATTGTGTCACAGAAACAAATCCGGCAAGGGTCGGGTGAGCAGGACGATCTGAAAACGGATAACACTAAACCAATCCATATAGCCCCTACGGAGGATGATACTAGGAAGAAATCAACATGCTGTGCAAACTTATAGATCCCTCTCAACTCATCCCACCCATCCCCCATCATTCCAAATGTTGTGGTCCATGTTGTGCTGATACGCTTCTGTGTTGATGTGTAATGCATTGTAAATAGGAAGATAGAATTCTACATATAGGGGTGGTATGTCATTAGGAAGGTGGGGAAGGGAAAGAGCAATTTATTCCGAAATACTATCTGTAATTTACCTTAAAATATACATGTAATACTGACAAACTGAAGTAACCAGATTTATCTACTATCAATTGTAAAAAAAAAACAATGTTTTTGTTAGTTTTGGGATTATTATTTCTGTGATTGGTTTTTGTTATTGCAGAAATATACCACATTGTCTCGCAGAAACAGATCCGTGATGGAGGAAGTGGTGAGGACTCCCCCAACGACAACGTACAGACCATCAATATTGACAAATCCATTGATACCGACTCAAAGAAGAAAACATGTTGTCAGAATTAGCAGCCTCTGTCTTTTTATTTGTCTGTCTGTCTGTCTGTCTGTCTGCGTGTATGTCAGTCTTTCACATTACATTAGTGGATGCACACATACAGAGGTGGTCAACTTAATCATAATGACAGATTTTTCTTTAAAATAATAATCTTTTCGTAAGGGGAGTTTGTAATACTCGAACTCTGTGCTATTGCTGGATTTGTCTGATGTCAGCTCCTATGTACAGTCTAAGGCCTTCCTATACATTGTATCATTACACGTAATTGAAGTTTACTGCTAAGAAGTCGACACAAACTTGCATGGGATTTAAACCTTGCAAATGCTAGTATTAAAATCACTGTACTTTAGGTCCTGTGTGTTCACTATTTAAAGTCGTCTGTTTTTTTACCCACATGTTCAAGTATTACAACTTTAAAGTGGGAGAGTCGTCACCTTTGCATGCGTCAGATGGCCATAGCGTGTTTACAACAAGCATCTACCCATGAGCCTATGCGTTTTTAGCATGTTATCGTCGCTTGGGACTCTATTCCCACATGTGCTCAGGTGACGACCGTCTCGCCTTAACCCTACCCCACATGTGTTACTGTACGATAAAAGACAGACATTGACCAGAAAATGTGCAGAAATTTGACCTTGGTGTGAAAATGCCTATTCTGCTAGTCACAGTAAGGTTCACATGTAATTTATAATTACGTTTTCTAGGGTAATAGATTCATAATTTCTTTTTCAGCCAGTATATATATAATATGTAGTATAGACACTAAGTGTTCATCAATGAAATGAATTGTCTGGGCAGTGATAAATAAGCAAGCCATACTCAAGGCATTTTTTTTTTTTTTTTTTGTTCTGTTGCCAGTGTGGTTCTCGTGTGTGTACATGCTATTTTCAAATCTTGCGTAACGAATAAATATCATACATTTAATTGTTTACAAACATTATGTCAGTCATTTGTACCTGCAACAACTATCTATTAAATGCTTACTGGTGTATTTATATATACATGTATAAAGCACGGTTTATGCTTTCCATACCTTTGAAGATATTGTCTACACTTCAATGCGAAAATGAGATTCTAAGGTCGTATAGGTTAAACCGCCCTACAGGCTACTGTCTGTAAGATGTGTTATCATTCTCAACAAGGCTTGTAATTGGCTGCTTTGTCATGACATTATCACCAATCAGCACACGTTTTAGAATGGAGGCATGGGAGATTCACTTATTGGTGTATTTGCAAGCTACTGGGTGCGACCAGGTTGGCGGGTTTTATCACGAAGGCAGTGTGGTAACTACCAGGTGCTGCAGAGAGGGCAAGGTTTTTGCAACTTGCAGCCTTATTGTATGTTATTTTCACAATTTGAGACGTCAAAATTAAATATCATTTACATATGGGCTGTTAAGAATCGCTATATGCTGACTACAAAGTTGTCTGGTTTGCCAACCTTAACTCGCCAAATTAGTTGTTGCACTCCACTCTTGGTCTCGTAATACTGCACATTGCTTTAATTTTGAGATGTTCATAAAATCGCAAAATTTTGCAGTGATAAACATTTCACTACTGTCTTGGCATGAAGTTTGTGGCTTTTGTAAAACTGGGTACGGTATACAGTACATGCATGTTTTGACAAATTTTGAATGTGCTGTAATACTGATGGCAATGCTGGAAATTATCCTTCCTAAGTGACCTAACTGCAACTGTAGGCAGCCTTGGATTCCTTGACCCCACATTTCTATTCTGCCTGTGGCACCTCAGAAGTAATAATTAGTCTTGTGTGAACCCACTCCTCTTCAAAGGTGGTTGGTAAAAGTTTTTCTACTAATTGTCTAGAAGTGTGCAAGGCCAGCCAGTTTAAATTCTTGAGTATAGAATGTGAATCTATTGTAACTGATGTTTGTTCACAAATTGATTATTTTACTATTAAATTTGTTGATTCAATTTCTTGCTCATCTGTTTTTGCTTAATGGTCACTTAGAAGTGGTTGCAAGAAAGTGATTCTATGGTGCTATGCAGCAATGTGTCTTAAAAGTGATGCTTTGTAGAGGTTTTGTACGCGCTTTCCTCTTCAATATTTCAATAGTTTTAATGTAGCATTGCGCATGTGTGAAACTCTGTATCCAAGAGTGTACGAGACTATTGCACCTTTTGCAACAGTTTATCCTTCACTGTGTTTATTACCTTTCAAACTTGCTTTCTGTAATCTTGAGTATTGTGCATTGTTTTTACCTTATTCTTGTGCTTTATCTTCATTGTATTATGGTTTTATCCGTTAATTGATGACCATGCATCTCCGATTAGAAGTGCAAGTAAAATGTCAACTGTTTTAAATACGAGTCCCATCGTAAACAGTGCATATGAAAAACAGTTTAAATGAAATTTAGATTGTGTGCTTTATAGCATCTGCTCTTAACTAAGGGGGTTAATATTGTTGAATTGGCAAGTTTCTTTTGCAATTCTAACTCTACCCTGCAGCGCTTTCCAATTTAATTGTATATGCCCCTTATAAGGACAGTTATCTCGAGGGGTATTTCCAATTGAATTGAGGAACTAGAGTTGTGGTGCAAAAGGAATGTTTCCAGATGACACAATCGATTGGGCAAATGCAAGCACTTCTAAAGAGAGGCTTTTTAGGATGGGTAGGATTTTTTGACTTATTTTCAAATAAAAACTTTTGCTTTTGTATGTGTATACATGTCAGATAGCGGATACTAACCTGAAAGACACAGCTGTGTGGATATGACGTCTCGCAGACAAAGTGCTTTAATATTGTAATTGTAGTTTAATAAATAAGTTGCTATTCACACCAGTAAGTTATTTTACTGACTAACCAGAGGGTGAAATTAAAAATGAGTTTACTGTCCACTGGACAACTTGATGTACCTGTCCCGGGTGAGATAAATTACTTCAATTAAAATTTTTAGCCTGTCATTGTTAGTCTTAAAAATTCTGAAAGCAATTTTTTTCGACACTTGGGGCTACACTATTTGGTCAGTGGGTCAAGGACAAATATTTCCCAAAAATATGCCTGTCTGCGATGGGCCTTAATTTCGACCACTGCAGACATTTCTAAAATGCTTAATATTGCATCGTACAAAGTGTATGCTGTTTGTTGAAGTGTTAGATTCAAAATGGCAGCCATCCCACCGTGCAGTGTTCTAAGAGTCTTGTGCGACTTCTACATTATCTACACAAGATTCAATGGAACCACAACAGAATAAAAACCTAATAATGTTGCTCTGCTAGATGTAAAGTCCGCACGTTTTAAAAAAATAAGTGTGTTGTAACTTGCTGGTGAGAATCAAACTTAAAATAATAAATTAAAAAAAAGTGCAAATTTTATCAATATCTTGACTGTACAATATTGTAAATAAAATGAGAGCATTGCGTTGATTGAGCTGCACAGTTGCATTACCTTTACAGTGTCATTTTTCATGTTGTGGAATATTTTAATAGAAAATTATGTAACCATGTGATTCATCTCAACTGGTTCCACTCTGAAGTGGTGTTATATTTCCACATTTTTCAGCTCCTCTTAAGGAGGTTTGGACTGAATTCAGGATTGTCATTTTCTATATGGAATGTAGAAATTGAAAAGTTTAATTCTCCATGTCTCAAAATTATGTTTGGTGACATTGGATAAAGAAATATTCTGGGAAGTTTCTAGAGTGATATTGCATTGCTCAAACAAGCTGCTTTCCGATTGGTCCAAATGTTGGGTGTTCAAGTTTGATAGCCAATCAGATAGTCTTATAAGTAGCTTCACTTTGACTCAAGACTCCTTAAGATGATGAAACATTGTCTTTTCTGACCCATTACAGTTGTTCTTAATTTTGCAGGGTTGCTCTTTCGAAAAAAAAAATATATATATATATATTACAATAGTCTGCACTAACTCGAAATCTAGCTTATTTACAAATATTATAGCTGTCTTGTATATGGTATATCATAGAAAGAAATCATATTTGTTATTTGTTTCCTCCAATAAGTTTGGAGATTAATGTGTCAATGATTTGAGTGCACTGTACTCTGGGTTTTGTGGCAAAATATTTCTATGCTTAGAATAATTTTGTAACTTAGATCTGTCCTCTTGATTTGCAAGTTTTCACAACAATTTAAACATGTTAATAAAATCATTAGTATCAGATGTTCTTTTCATTGTCCATTTTCTTTCCCTCTAAACTGAAATTCGTAAATAACAGTTCAGTACAATAGAATACATTATGAGCGTTTTTGCCCTTGGCGGCGCCCTACTTACGCTGTGATCATGTCCGGGAAAGATCAGTACCCATGTAGGACTTAGTTCCAGTGGTACAAACCTGTCCTTTCGGCGGGAGTGCTCCGCAAGCAGTTGGACCTGGACCAAAGAAGATCGACTGTAAAAAATATGGGTGAAAACAGCGGCGGATATGGAACATTTACGTGTAGAGGTGATGGTATTTTTCGTACTTCTATAATAACTGTTATAGAGGGCGTTGGGGTGGGACTCGTAACTTTACTATCCTCAGGGGCGGACATCCGGGCATTTTCACCGCCTGGCAACCCTCGCGGTGAAAACAAAGGCCAAAAACTCGCAGAAAACAGTACTTTGGGATGGTTGTTGAGACTCCCCTGGAGAGTGTATCAAGATT